TCCAGTCAACAAATAGCAATCAAATTATCTAACTTAATGGTTAATGTGATCAAATCTTAATAGCAAGATAAAATTGTATCAAAATGAAAAACATTGGGCAAAATTGTGCCAGAAAATACTTTAAGATATGTGTGCTTGGTTGAAAACTTTAAAGGTAAATTTGTACTTTAACTCTTAAAAAATTAAAATATGCAAATCTTTTCTAAAATTTGATGTAGTTGCACAAAATTCTCTCATTTTTTAAACTTTAAAAATTAATTTTTGTAATTTTTCTTACTACAAACTCACTTACTCTTATTTTTTAGTTATCTTATTAACCAAAGTTGTCATGTCTTATTTAAAAAACACGTAACAACTTATGTAACATCTAAAGAACTAATAATAACAAAAAAATGTTGATAAAATTTTTATAAACCTATATTAGCAAGCTTAATTTGAATGTCACATAAGCTGTTATGTGTTTTTTTTTAATATGATTATGATATGATAACTTTTATTAGTAAAATAATTAAGAAATAACTTTCAATTGAGGTGTGACTGTGTTTTCCACTCCCAAACCCAGCTTGCAGTGTAAAGCCTAGCTGTTGTCTTCAAAACCTAAAGAATGAAAATAATAAGTGTACATAACCATGCCAACTAGTGCACAGCTATGAAACTTGTTGACTATATATCAAATAATACCAATTAACTACAATTAAGCATCTTTAAATTTGTTTTTTATTCACAAAAGCATTGATAAATACCAATAAAATCATGTTATCCCCTTTAAGTCTAACTTGATGCTTATAAATATGACAAAACAAAGAAAAGAAACAAATGCCCAAATCAAGAATGCGAAAGTTAATATGCTCAAGTTGTGGTTGAAGTAGGGGAATAACTTGGGACTAAGATGTGTCCTAGACTCATTGTCACTAGTTTCCAAAGTATTTAAGAAGAAAATTAGCAACCCAAAATCAGAAGCCAGAACCATTGATGGTAAAATAGTATGGGAGCCAATATAATTTGGGAGAAAGAAATACATTAATGAGACGAGGGGGATTGGGCAAGGATAAGGGAAAAGCAATATCTTTAATTTCCCCTTCTGTTACTTCAACTTCAACCTCAAATTTCATCATCCTCCTTAGATGGTAGACCTCTAATTGAAATTTGATGCATGATATGAGGTGGGTGTGGAGTAATGGGAGGGTTTAAGCATGTAAACACAAAGTGATAATGAAGGCAAAGAAGATGGGATTCTCAAATTGTATTTTCATTTGGGGGAACAACGATAGGGGTTTCAAAGAAGTTAGTGTTGTGAAGAATATGGGGTGAGAGAGGGGGATGAAAAGAACTTTTGTAGTGTGGTGTGGTGTGAATGAGAGAGGGGGGAAAGAGATGAGGAAGTTATGGTGATGGAGAGATGAAGGGAGATGATGAATGTAGGCCCTGCCATTAAAAATAAATAAACGTTACTCACATGGACGGAGAGGTACTAGGTACATTCCATAATTTATTTTGTATCATCCCATAATATATAGGTTACCAGACAGTTTTGCAAAAAAAAAAGTGCATGACTAAATTTGCTCTTTTACGCCTTCTTTTTGGTCCTCAAGCTTCACTTGCTCCAAACTCAACTAATTTTCACAACAAGAACAAAATGTAACAATGGGAATGGGATGGACAGCCCTCGCCTTGTTGTAACTTCTTTCAAGATAATTGTTTTCTCATATACTCCTCATGGACTACTTTTATTTACCACAATATGAAAATCTCGATTAACTGGTGTGATTGAATTAATAAATCGTTAAATCAGTTGTTTGATTGATTAATAAAATACTTTGTTTATAATTGATTTGATCATAATTTGACTATGATTTTGACCATAATCCTTAAACCAGTATTTTGGTGGGTTTAATGATTGGTCCATATTTCAGTATTTTGCTAATTACGTTGCAAAATCAATAAGAGGTTTTTAAGTTATTAATTTTGTTTGAAAATAAAATAAAATTTCAATTATACTCTAATTTAAATGAAATTTTTTCAAATTTATATTATACTCCCTCTCATAATTAATGGGTTTAAATAAGAGTAATGTTAGAAGAATATAATTAATACCTTATCAAGTTTCTTATAGTATTAAGAACTAAAAAAAAAATCTTATTAGAAGATGTTCTATAATAGAAATATGGAGTATTGGTTTAGTTGATTTCATAATCTAGTTTCTATTTTGATTTTTGTTTGGTTTTAGTAATTTAGTTTCTTACCTAATAATAACAAGCATGGAGCAGAAGTTGAGACGGAGAAGAAAGTGACAGGGACAATGGGACATGATGAACTGAATATTTATTAGAAAATTCAAATGAATTTCTCATTTCAATGATGTGTACTTATTAATTTATAAAGAGAGAATTACAACTATCTCTTTGAAAAAAATTAATCATAGATAAAAACTAACAACAAGTTTCATTTAAGAAAAAAAAACAACAATTCATTTTTATTTTAACAATAATCCATTCTGCATTGATCTTTACCTGTAATTAATTTCCTTCAGAATGGATGTGATTCTCCCATTTATAAAGGTTTAAATGGAGAATTATATTTGGTCAAAGTTAAAACATAATTTAAATTTAGTCTTTTAGGAATAAAAGAATAAATTAACCTTTAACCTCTAGGTTTATGAGCATTTGAGATCTTACAATCATTTTTTATGTAATGTTCTCTTTTAATTTTTAAAAATAGTATAATCTAGTTTTGACAATTAACAAGAGTTAACTTTAATTGTTTTGATAAAAAAATGGAATGAGTATAAAAAAATTATAGAAAAGAATACAAAAATCACATAAAAGGACCCAAAAAATTACATGAAAGACTAAAAAAATTATTGGTCTTTTGATGTAATTTTTGAGTTTTCTTTTATCATTTTTTAATTACGTAACAATTAAAATTAATTTTTATTGATGATAAGAATAAGATTTCATCATTTTCAAAACTTGAAAAGTAAAATTACATAAAAAATAAGTTTAAGATTTCAAATATTTTTGAACAGTTTGCTCTTTCATCTATCTCCTTAGTCTGGTTGTATAATTTCATAATCTTTTGGCCTTCATTTGTTAATTTTTTGTTATGTAGGTCCCATTCTAAAATTATTAAAAAATGACGTTGGCATGATATTTAATTGGGAATTTCAAATACTTGAGTGAGAAAGTAGTTATTGGCAATCAAATAGTTGTTGGTTATGAGTGTGACTCAAATTATCCCGATAGAAGATTGAGAGGCTTTAATGAGGATAATGAAAGGTATCCTACGGTTTCCCTATCACACTATATATATTTGAATTGGTCCACTATGAAATATCATCCACACATATTATATAAATATATATATTCTATTTATTTAAAAATATAAAAAATTTTTAATCAAATCTCACCTTTCAATTAAGTAGTTACCTATTTTCAAACTAACTGTCTTTTTTATATTTATCTTTATTAAATATCCTATAATAAATATAAAGTCATTATCAATAGGGGCTTTTTTTAAAAAAAGACAATAGCTATATCTCAAAAAACTAAATATGCTTATATTTTTAAATATCCAATTCCTAAAAAATATCTTACATTTTTAAATGGAGGAGTATATATTAGATAACTTAAATTATATTGGTTATTTAAATTCACACATTCAGTGAGTGATTTAATTATAGCCATTAAATTTTATTATTATTTAAAAAATATTAAGATGCATTTTTATTTCAAAATTTAAAATAACATTTATAATCAAAATGCTCCTAATATGTATTATCCTCTTTGAATATTTGAGATTAGGTGCCTTCTTAAGTATCATACAATAAAATTTTTTGTAGTCATTTAATTAAAATTAAGCCATTGTTATCTTGTCATACAAGATACTTATTAAATGAACACATTTATGCTTAGACTAGATTCAAATCCTACACTAGAAAGATGCTCACATAACAACAGACAAAAGTAATTACTAGGCGTTTTTAAATACCAAATCTGATAAATCTAACTACATTAGTCAACATTTATCATCAAATCATCAAAGCATCAACTAATTAGTAAGTATTAAATTTAGTTACTGATAATTATTTCAATTACAGTCCATAAATTTTATCACTACTTAAAAATTATCAAGATATAATTTCTCTTTAAAAATTTAAAATAATTTTTTACAATCAAAATTTCTTTTACATATATTATCCCATCTAAAAATTTAAAATCTAATACTACCTCCATCTCAAATTATAGGATATTTTAAAAGAATTTTTATTTCAAAATATAAGATATTTTGAGTAGATTAAGATTTCATTAAATGTATTAATTTCAATATTATCCTTTCTTTTTTATAATTAATTTATATTTTTTTAAATATATTAAATGATGAGTATTTTTAAAAATTTATATTTTTATTTTAAAAAGATAAAGTTGTTAAGTTTATTTAATGATATTTATTGATATATAAAATTTTATTTAAAAATATTTTATAATTTAAAATAAAGAAAATATTTTTCTAACAACCATTTGATTAAATGGATAACTTTTATTATTATTATTTTTTGAAATATGATGTCACAATAAAAACAGCATAAGCATATAAAAAGTCGTTACAATCAATCGACAAAAAAAAATAAAAAATTTTAATTTTTATATTATCAATTATCAATATAAAACTGGTGTCAATGAGTATATTTGTTTGCTTCCCAGCAAACGTATTTAAAGGTGTCAGTCTTGTTTCTTGTAGCTGATTTTGTTGACAGTTTAGCGTTCTCATTGAGAATGAGTGAACCTCTGCCATTCTCTAGATGCTTGTCTTACACACCAGGGAAAAAAAAAAAAGAATTCATCCATCAGATTTCAATCACCGCTTGCGGTTTTGGTCAACCTTGAGACGAAGGCACTTTAAAACGGAGAAAAAACACTTAAAAAAAGGAAGGAAATTTTCACAATCACGGTCAAAAAGAGCGTTATTTGGTGGCCGGTGGGCTTCGCGTTTTGACCCTCTCTCTCTCTCTCTCTCTCTCTCTCTCACTCTCACTCACGCACAGTGAGTTGAGAGACGAAGAGTCTCCTGTCCTTTTGCGTGTAGCAGCGTGCGGCCACTGACTGACTTACCCTCCTTCCTTCCTTCGCCTCCCTTTTCTTCTCTTTTGCTCCTTCTTCTCCTTCTGCGTTTTTGGTCTCCGCCTTTCTACAGTGCGCTCGGTCACTTCCCGATCTTGTCACCCTCCACCTCCGCCATTCATCATCGTCGTAAGCTGCACCGGCTCTGCTGTGGCTGCTTCTCTTTCTGTTCAGGTCTCTGCCTCGCCAGAATGACTCACGGATAACTCCTCTCAGATCTCTGCTTCTGGTACCCTCTCCGATCAACTAGATAATATTACTCTCTTTTTTCTTTTTTCCTTTTGTGTTTTGTGCTTGCTTTGATCCATTTCTGTATTCGGGGTTTGGTGTTCTCTGAACTGATACCGATTGATGGCTTGTGGTCTATTTCGAGAGTCACTTAATGAGATTAACTATTGGGTATTTCATTTTTGTTTGAGCGATACTGGTCTCTCTTCCTCTTTTTGTATTCCCTTTTAACTGGGGTTGCTTTGTCTCCGTTTGTTGTTTGTTACTTTTTGTTTGCCTTTGGTTACATGATTGTGTCCATTTTATTGGTTTCTTCTTCCAGATTTGGTGAGCCAGAAAGAATTGATGGACTGGAGCTGTAAGGGAGACCAGAATTGGTATTGCGTTACTTCTGCTGGAATGCCTGATTTGTGTGCGAGTCTATCCCGTAATAATCAAAATCTTTGCCATGAGTATAGCATTCCTGTCGAGTAAAGGCTGTATCTGAATCGCTACTCTTGTCAGTTAGTTTTGTTTAAATTTTTCCTTACGGGCTTCTTGGCAAGAATGAAGTAAAACATCGGGTCACGTTGCATGGGCATTGTGCATAGAGACTGAAAATAGTCACCAGGATTTGAACAAAGTATGGGCAGTATTTGCTCAAAGTCAAAGAAATCCGTCCTTGGTGGTGTTATTGTAGATAATGGTGTTAGTGAAAGCTCGAGACAAGCTAACGGTCATTCTAATAATGAGTCTCGAGTGAATTATCAGTGTCGCGAACTTCCAGGAAAAGTAAATAACAACTCCGCTCTTTCTCCTGTTGATGGTGATGTGGATAAGCAGGCACGAGAATCGTTTTCATTCCCTGAAAGGGAGTTTTCACATGGGCCAAGTGCAGACGATGTCAATGACGGGATCCCTTACCTGTCTAGGGCTTTATCATACAAGTCAAGATCTACCAAGTCTAAGCAGGCTGCTGTTACAAAGGTGCTTGTCCATTGCATGTTTGATCTTTGTATTCCTTCTTATCTTTCTTTCATAGTACTGTATTGTGTGCTGCTCAATTCCCTCTCCCCCTCTTTCTGGAGAGAGCATTGTTGCAAAAGGTTAATTAGACATGACTTCTGACAAGTTTTACTACCAATTAATTCTTCATTCTAATAATGTTTTTAACACAAAAAAAAAAATATTCTTTAGATTGTCTATTGTAACCTATCCCAAAAGATTTCAGTTAATTAAGTCATAAAATTCTCATTGGCCTATTGAATCCAGCAGCTAGATCAGATATTTCTCAAAGAGTAATGGGGTAAACTATGAATATACGAGGGTTGGGGTTTACAACCAGATTTGAGATGGAGTAGCTTAGTATAAAGCTAGCCCAGTCAGCCAGAACCCTAAGGCTAGACTTTATCGTTGACTTCTTTGCTTTTCATTACTCTACATTTTGTGGACTTGGTAATTATAACCACCACTTTCAAATTAAAGAGTCCTTCTTAGCTAAATTTATGTAGATTTTATTATTATAAAAGTCTATGAAGCATGGACATTGTAAAGTAGTGATGTCTATGCCTCTGTGGACTAAAGTGCCAATTTCAGTGATCAAAATAATATGTGCAAGGGGTTAATCGTATATACCGCAACTATGCTAGGATTGGGGGTAACATGGTTCTATAGTATGTCACAAAATCAGCCTATGATCTGATCAAGATTTGATCCTTTAACTGTGTACAATAAAGAATATTTAATGCCAATATTCTGATAACATTGCCACATTCTCCTTCAAATTGAATCATAGATGTTACGACAGGAAGACCTGCTGTTTGTTTGTTCTTTAGTCAGGACATATGTCTTATCCTCCCTCCTTGTCCAATAAATTCTATTGTGTATGTTACCCTTAAAAGGAAAATACTGTATTTGATTTTCTATTCTTCATGTGCCAAGCTTGTAAAAGGAAAATACTCTATCTTGGTTCTCTAGATATTTCGTGTGAGACTTTGTGAGACAAGCAATTGATATTATATGAGTAAAATTGGTGACAAATGATATTTGGTTTGTAAAAAAGCTTTTTATACATATGAAGCACTTACATTTCCAATATTTTTATCAGTAGTTTCATTTTGTCTTATGTTTTTGGGGTGGTATAGGTTTCAGAAGTGAGTTCACTTTTGGGCAGAGCTGGTACAGCTGGCCTTGGCAAGGCAGTTGAAGTTTTGGACACATTAGGTAGCAGTATGACAAATTTGAACCTGAATAGTGGTTTCACGTCAGGAGCGACAACTAAAGGAAATAAAATTTCAATTTTGGCCTTTGAAGTTGCAAACACAATTGTTAAGGGTGCCAATCTGATGCAATCTCTTTCAAAGGAGAACATTAGTCATTTGAAAGAGGTGGTATTACCATCTGAAGGAGTGCAAAATTTGGTATCCAGGGATATGGAAGAACTCCTGAGAATTGCTGCAGCAGACAAGAGGTTAGACTGTACAAATTTATTCACACTCTTTTTCTTGCTCTTCATTTATTTCTACCTTTGATATGAGGCCCATCTCTTTAGTTCCTATCATGCACTCAAACATAGAATCGTAACTCTCTTATTTGTTGTGGCAGAGAAGAACTGAAAATCTTTTCTGGTGAGATTGTGCGGTTTGGAAATCGTTGTAAAGATCCTCAATGGCATAATCTTGACCGCTATTTTGAGAAGTAACCATAGTTGTATTGAGTTGAATTGATTTTTCTTATAACATTCAAATTAGTTTTATAGTCATGATTTACTTCATATTTGTTGATATTTAGGTTAGCTTCGGAGCTTATACCACAAAAGCAATTGAAAGAGGAGGCAGAGATGGTGATGCAGCAATTAATGACCTATGTTCAGTATACAGCTGTGAGTATAAAAGTTATCAGTGATGGAGAATATATCTAGTTTTGACCTCAAGTTCTATTCTGACATCATAACTATCTTTGTTGATGTGTGTTGGAATCTCATATGGTCTGTATGTTAAGGAAAGCAGAAATTCTTGCAATTGGTGCTGAGGTGGGAGAAAATTGTGTGCTAGTTTCTGAGACCTTTTTCCATTAAGATTTTATTCAAAAAGTTGATGATGATATCCCTTCTGTTAATTTTGGTGGCTTTGTTGACAGCACACATATCAAAATAAAGTATTATTTGAGTTATATATACTAGTCACTTGTAGCTACTTTACCAAAACCAAAGAAAGATAGGTAAATCATTACTGTTGTTTGAAAGAGAAATAAATTTACCATTTTACTCTTATTAAATGCATCATTTTTTAAAATACTCTTATGTCATATATGCAACCTCTTACCCTTATAGAAAATTGTGAAATGGTAAAATTTGAAGAAGGTAATTAATGATCTATCTTTTCATGCAAGGCGACTTATCAAAATGATCATCAATTATTTTGAAAGATGACTTATATATAGAAGTGAGGGAGTATATTTGTAATTCCTCCAACCAATTCTATGCATTTGAAGGCTATGAGAAATAATTACCTTCAAAGACTTCGTAATTGCTTGTATATATATATGTATATGTATCCAAAACTATGCATCCTATTAGACAATGCACAAATTACCTGGAATGGTATTGGAAGGAAAGGCAAATGTTGTGGGGCCCTTCATCACTTATGTTTGCTTTGATGGAAACCCACTTCCTAGCTCATTTCTTGGCAATAAATTTGAAGTAATATCAGTCCATTATTAAGGTGAAGGAAAAGTACTGTAGCTAAAAGTAAAAACTGGTAAAAACCTGATATGCCCCCTTTCCATTTTCAAACTCTCTAATCTTTTCATTAGTTTAATTTTTAGTTTTATATTTGAAAGATAATTTGGTCATTTATAATTATTTTTTAGGGAAAATTAATCATTTAATCTCCATAGTTTTGGCTCAGATATAACTTAGTCTCTAAACTTTCACTCATTGTAACTTAATAGTTTTTACTTAGTTGCAGTCCAATCATTGAGCTTTGACTTGGAGCAACTTAATCTCTATAGTTTTAGCCATTTAAAATATTGGTTCTTATATTTTAGAAAATAAAATTATAAAGGCAAAAGTTATTTCTTGAAACTTAATGACTAATGTTTTAAATTACTAAAACTACAGAGATTGAGTTGCAATTTAGTCAAAATTATAGAGCCTAAGTTGCACCAAGTTAAAATTTAGGAACTAAGATGCAATTGAGTAAAAATTGTGGGGACTGAATTATTAATTTTTCCTAGTTTTTAGATATTAAAACATTCCTATCTTATTTACCACATGCCAAACAACAACAACAAAAGCCTTCCTGCTAAGTGGGATTAGCTTCATGGATTGTGTGACGTCATTGTGTTCTGTCAAAGACCAGTTACAACATGCCAGATATTGTGACATTATTCCATTCCCATTCCCTTATAATTCATTCCAATATACCAAACATAATGTATGAGTGGATCTAGCTTAATGGTTCATTTGAAAATAATTTTTTTTTTTAAGTTTGATATTCAGAGTTAATTATGATTTAGGTATGGACAGTAAGGGTTGTGGTCAAGTCGTTTGAGATGAAACAAAGCAAGTTGTGCATTGTCTAATAGGATGCTTAGTTTTGGATTCAGGTTTTGCAATATATTTTTGGATTATCAATATTTGTTTGATACTCTTTGTGTGTGGGCGCGCAAATGTGTGCTCACTCAAAAATAGGCAATTATCTTGATGAGCATGTCATGGTTTCCGACCATGTATCAGCCTTTGTTTTGCGTTACAACTTTGGACTAGAATTTTATTTATAGAATACTTTCTAGACTGTGGAATAGCAAGGGACACAAGTTATGCACTGTTTATAGTGCACTGGGCTGAAGTTTTTCATTTGTTGTGATCTTTGCTGGTGTCAGTTTATTGTGATTGAACTTCAGATGCTTATTATTTTCCTATCTGCAGCCTGCCTATAACAAAAGCAAGCAACCTTATGGAAGTTGATTAAAAATTTGGAGTTGACATAAGTGGCCAGAGTCATTTGCTAGAATTGATATAAAGTTTTGAAAAGGAAAACTCAGTTTAACCCTTTCCCATTTTTGTGATAATAAACAGAAAAAAAGACAGATCTGATGTTGGTTCTTGTTTAATGATTTTGCATTAATGTGTCTTTTTTATGGACCACCTAAAGAACAAAACTTGGATTGCAGGAATTATATCATGAATTGCATGCCTTGGACAGATATGATCAGGATTATCGGCGCAAGCTTCAAGAGGAGGACAATTCAAATGCCACACAAAGAGGTAAAATACACACCTGGATTTCCCTATAATAATGTCATTAAATCCTGCCGACTTGCATTTTTAATTCTGTAGAGCAGATATCTATTTTTACAGTTTGGACTTTGGTGGAATAAATTTCTCAGTTCCTCACTTGGGTAATTACTAATATTTGTTTGATATGAGACGAATCAATCAAGATCAATTATTATATCAACATCAATATAAATCAACCAAAAATGCAAAATCTATGGCAACCTACAATGTTCACTAGCTGTGAACAATATTGATCATTATTTAGACTTCGTATAATGCATAGGAGCCCCAACTAGTTATTACTGGAAAGAGGAAACGCAAGGTGCCTGTGGCAGAAGAGATAATATAAGAAGTAAACTGAAAACAAAAACAAAGAGTGCCATAATTCCTGAATATCTTTGCACCAACATCTGATAGAGAGATCTCCCATAAGAGGCCTCGGCCAAAGCACCAACGTTAAGCCATAAATACTTGTTTATCCATGATAGTTGTGAAGGCAACGAAGCACCTCAGCAAGTGTTAGCATTTTGTTGTGACCTAATACATCAGAAAATAGCTTAAACTGCATCCCACCTGAAAATTTTGCTTTCCTGGCTCCAGACCTTGAAGGATTTCCTCACATCCATCATTGGTAAACAATAATATATATTTTTTAAAAATAACAGAATACTTATTCCATGGCTGTCTTAACAATGTAAAACAAATTTGCTTCTGTTTATGGGCTAGAAACAGTAATACATAAAACGTATATCTAGGGAGGGGGGAATTTTATGTGGTCTACTACACCCGCTATGCTCTACCCATTCTCATTGGGAGATCAGGAATGTTAGATTCCTATGAGGATAATTCTTCTGATAATCTGAAAAGACCTTGTTGTCCATCCTTGACCAACAACAACAACAACAACAACAAGCCTTTATCCCACTAGGGAGGGTCGGCTACATGGATTGCAAGACGCCATTGTGCTCTATCATTTATCAAGCTTTTAGGAATATTATTAATTAAAAGATCGCGTTCAACAACTTCCAAGAGTGTTCTTTTAGGCCTTCCTCTACCTCTCTTAATCGGACTCAAAGTTATATGTTCCACTCTTCTCACTGGTGCCTCCCTTGGTCTTCTTTGTACATGCCCAAACCATCTCAACCGATTTTCTACCATTTTTTCCTCGCTACCCTCACTTTTTCGCGTACGTGCTCATTTCGAATTTTATCTTTACGTGTATGTCCGCACATCCATCGTAACATTCTCATCTTTGCTACTCCAACTTTATGCTCTTGTTGTCCCGTTATAGCCTAGCATTCACTACTATATAATATTGCCGGTCTGATAGCAGTGTGATAAAACTTTCCTTTAAGTTTATTAGGTATCTTACGGTCGCAAATAATTCCTTTAACTTTTCTCCAATTAAACCACCCAGTTTGAATCCTATGTGAAATATCTTCACTGATTTCGCCATCATTTTGAATAATGGCTCCAAAATATCTAAACTTTTTCACTTGAGGTATAATTTGATCTCCCAATTTCACTTCCAAATTATTGTTGAATAGTCTCTTACCAAATTTACAATATAAATATTCCGTCTTACTCCTATTCAAACGGAAACCTTTCGACTCCAATGTCCTCCTCCATAACTCAAATTTGCAATTCACCTCTTCTCTTGTCTCTGTTATAAGAACTATATCATCTGTGAAGAGCATACATTTGGGAATTTTCCCTTGAATATGTTCCATCAAAACATTTAAGATCAAGTTGAACAGATAAAGACTCAGAGATGATCCTTGATGTAGTCCAATCTTTATAGGAAAATTCTTTGTTTGACCATTAGGCGTTCTTATACTAGTTTTTACCCCCTCATACATATCTTGTATGGCTTTAATATAAGCAATCCGTACTCACTTTTTTTCCAACGCTTTCTAAAGCACTTCTCTTGGTATACGGTCATAAGCTTTTTTCAAATCAATAAAAACCATCTGTAAATTTTTATCTTTACAACAATATTTTTCCATTAATCCCCTAAGTAGATAAATCGCCTCTGTAGTTGATCTACCTGGCATAAAACCAAACTGATTCTCAGAAATACTTGTCTCCAATCTCAACCTATGCTCAATTACTTTCTCCCACAATTTCATTGTGTGGCTCATGAGTTTAATCCCTTTATAGTTAGTACAATTTTGAATATCTCCTTTATTTTTATAAATAGGAATTAATGTACTTCTCCTCCACTCATCAGGCATTTTCTTGGACCGTAAGATCAAATTAAATAACTTAGTTAACCATCTCACCCCTTCTTTACCTAAACATTTCCACGCTTCGATAGATATACAATCAGGTCCGTCGGCTCTACCATTTGCCATTTTCTTAAGAGCTTCCTTTACCTCCTTATCACGTATTATTCGATAGAATGACAAATTTTGTTTTCCTTCACCAGTCACTAAATCCTCCAAGTTACTAGATGAACCCTCTCCATCATTGAAAAGTTTGAAAAAGTAAGTTTCCCATCTATTTTTAATTTCATCATTTATAACTAAAATTCTTCGCTCTTCATCCTTAATATACCTTACTTGTTCTAGATTCCTTGATTTTCTTTCCTTACTCTTGACAATCTTATAAATGTTTCATTCTCCTTCCTTCGTCTCAAGGCTCTTATAAAATTTTTCAAAAGCTTTAGAACGAGCTTCACCCACAGCTTTCTTAGTTTCCTTCTTAGCCATATGGTACTTCTCTCAATTTTTCTCATTGTTTCACAAATGTATGGCTTTAAAACAGTTCTTTTTATACTTGATTTTGTCCTATACACTATTATTCCACCACCAAGATTCCTTATCTCTCGGACCAGAACCTTTTGATTCTCCCAAAACTACTTTTGCAACCTCCCGTATCTTTTTAGCCATATCCCACATGATGTTAGCACTTCCCTGAGATTCCCAAATTCCTTTGTCCAAAAGATTTCGCTTGAAAATATCTTGCTTCTCACTTTTTAATTGCTACCACTTAATCCTTGGTATTACTACTTGTCTGACGCTTTTGGATTTTACTCATAATACACACATCAAGGACTAAGATCTTATGTTGTGTCGTTACAGCATCTCCGGGGATCACCTTGCAATTTTTACAAAGTCTTCTATCTGTGTTCCTAACCAAAAGAAAATCAATCTGTGACCTTGAGGCTCCACTTTTGTAAGTGATGAGATGCTCATCTCTCTTCTTGAAATAAGTGTTGGCAATCTTAAAATCATACGTCAATGAAAAATCAAGAAGAGTTTGTCCTTCATTGTTTAGCTCTCCAAAACCAAGACCACCATGCACCCTCGTATACTGACCAGCCTTCCTCCCAACATGCCCATTAAAGTCTCCTCCAATAAAAATCTTTTCACTCTGTGGTATGTGTCGAATCAACCCCTCCAGATCCTCCCAAAATAATTCCTTAAGACTGGCTTCTGTCCTGACTTGCGGCGCATAAGCGCTAACGATATTAACAGTCTCACGTCCAATTATCATTTTTAAGGAAATAATTCTGTCTCCAATTCTGCTAACTTCTACAACATTCTTCTTCCACTCCTTATCCATGATGATGCCTTCTCCATTGCGTGCGCTTACTTTTCCTGTATACCAAAGTTTGAAACCTTGAATATCCTTAGCTTCTTCTCCACGCCATTTTGTTTCTTGTAAGCAAAGGATGTTGATTTTCCTTTGAATCATAACCCCTACAACCTCTACAGATTTACAATTCAATGTCCCAACATTCTAAGTACCAAATCTAATTTTGCTCTCATGGACTAACCTCTTTAGCCGCGCACGTCCAGAATGGTGCGGTAGCCCTTGCTCATTTAACACTACATCCGGGCGCCGATGCAGCGGCTCTAACTCACTTATCACTGTACTTGAGCCATGCAGCGCGTTCATTACGGGCAACGACCTAGCATTAACATTATAACATCTATTATCCATGTTTATGATAGATTCAACAAAGTTTTACATTGGCTGTTGATGGCCTAACACAACCCTCCTCCTTTACCCGGGCTTAGGACTGGCTATAAACATAGGCAGAGTTTGTCCATCCTTGACCCTTGACCTAAAATAATAAATATAATATAATCCTTGACCCTTGACCCATGCGAGATTTGACAAATGTTTATGTTAGTGGTTAAGGGTCAAACATAACTCCTCCTTTATTTAGGCTTGAGATTGGCTATAAAACATAGGCAGAGTTAATAAGATCTAACATGTAAATTGATAAAAATAAAAGAAATGTGAAATCATTCATATTCCTAACAAACATAGGAATTTCAAGAAAAATAGAATCTCTGAATATTGTTTCCTTATTACTCACTCTGTTTCTTGAAAATAATCATTTTCTACTATAGTGATTGCCATGTTTCATAAATAAGAATTTTCTGTCTGCCACTAGTGTTTAATATTGTACACAATCTGATTATGGTGAATGGCAATGCCTTAAACCTTGGGACTTGTGTTATATTAAAGCAATCATTGAAAAGTAGTGGGAAATCATTTTTTTGGCTAGGTTTGAGCAAGCTACCTGTAACCTGGTGCACCTGCTTGGACCTGGTCCTTTTGAGGTTATTTTTTACCCTTTGGGCTAGCCTGTCCTGCCATGTATATGGTTATTTAAAAAATGTAAAACAAAAAAAAATACACAGCACAGCATGTTATCAGAGAAAAAGCACTCAAGTAAGTGAACTCTCTCATGTCTCAGTCGTCTTCTCTGCGGATCTGACCAGAGAAAAAAAATCCTGGACCCTCGTCTCCCTCTTCCCCCGTTGCCTCCCTCATCCCTCGACACAGCAGCGCCTCCTCCACAGGTCGTGCCCCTGCACCACTTCTCCACTCCTCCCCCTTCAACTCATTGAACTCACACAGAGACCCTTTCCAGTTGCTGAAGCTGCTGACTGAACAGTACCTCTTCCTATCTCGCATTCATTGCTTCTTTTTCTGACTCTGTTGATCTATTCGTCATGCGCCTTGGTGCTTAAGTTTTATGGCCTTAATTTTTTTTTATTAATTTCCCATTTGTCTTTCATCTCAGCGTGAATGTACTGCTGGAGAATCTATCTTTTATCTTCATGACTTCGTCCAAAGGGAACTCTAGTTTTACTCACATTATTACTTCATAGAGGGAAAAAATGTGATTATTAGAAATCAATCCTTCTATCTGGTTCTCTGCTGATTAATTACAGATCCTGTTTGTCATTTTGTAGTTTTATGTTTGTCAATATTTCACCATTACAGTATGTATCAAATTGCCTTATCAGCATTAATAAGCCATCATCTTATTACTTTGTTACTTGTTATATAATCAGCATTGTGAAAAGTGAATGATGGGCAATTTTCAAAAATATCTTTATGTAGAAGTGTAGATATATTGATTTTTTTAGGAAAAAAAGGGAGGCATTCTTCAAAAACAGGCTAGACCAGCCCATTTTAACTTGTACAGGCTAGCACAGCCCATTTAAGAATGGGCCAAAATGGGCTGAGCAAGGGTACGGGCTAAGGGCAGCCCCTTGGGCTAGCCTGCTGCACAGCCCTGTTTTCTGCTATTTTGTGGAATTTTTGTGTTCTAAGGTGGACAACAGTTTTGGGGTACATAGTTTACTTTTAATTTATTTAATTGGTCAGTTTGCGGATATATGTTCAAAGCATTGGGGAAAAGCAGAAAAGTATATTATAAAGAAGCTTATTTTTGTTGCCACAATGAGTACTTTCATTTTTTTGTGACCATTGTCTATTAAATTTGCAGGAGACAGCCTTGCAATTTTGAGAGCAGAACTGAAGAGTCAAAAGAAGCATGTAAAAAATTTAAAGAAAAAATCACTGTGGTCTAGGATATTGGAAGAGGTAAGATGACTGCATGATTTCTTTTAGATTTTATGGTTGGATATGGGAGAGTATCAATTTAATGGAAACTAGCTCTACAATATGACAATTCATTTTTAGAAGCTGGCTCTAAAGGGCGTGCACCCTGACTTCTTGGAAGTACTCATCTTCGCTGTAGTCTCAGTGTTGATTTAGATTCTTTCAATCTTTTGAATCTAAGGCTTTCTTTTTCTCCTTGGCTAAATTATATAATATGGTTTCTTAATTCGTAGGTTATGGAGAAGCTGGTTGACATTGTCCATTTTCTTCATTTGGAGATACATGAAGCATTTGGTAGTGCTGGTATGCTTCAAGATAATGAAAATAGTTGGTTATGATCAGCTGAGAGCCACTTTCTCCTTTACCTATTGTTCCCACTTCCCTGATTATTCCTTTTTTTTTTTTTTTGGGGGGGGGGGGAGTTGGGGGAGGATTGAAGATCCAATATAATGTGTATCTTCCGTGACTAATCAGCTGTTCAACCTTGCAGATTCTTTTAGTGAAGGAAAAGATTCTCTGGGAAGCCATAAGAAGTTGGGTTCTGCTGGTCTTGCATTGCATTACGCAAACATTATTACTCAAATTGATACTCTTGTGAGTTATTTTACTCTAATTTTGTAATCCAAGATATTATGTTGTTGGCTTGCAAATTCATTAACCCCTCTCCTTTTGAAAGGTTCTTTCAAGATTGTGCTCGCATTTGTGTTTATGGTAATGATCCCAAAAGCAAAAAAAAAAAAAAAAGAAAAAAAAAGGGAAAGAAAGTAAAAGAAAAGAAAAGAAAAACAGGGAAGAAAAGGAATTTATACATACTAGCATGATAGTGAGTTATTGGAGGACTTATTTTCCTCTCTATTTTAAAATTGGAGCTTTTTAATCATGTCACAACCAGGATGGTATTTATAATTCTATTTGATTTTAGCATTTTGTTTCTTGCAAATTCATCAAAACCAAATGACTTGCCGAAGCATTGGAAAATTTTGAAGTTATCTAATTCTCTGTGTCTTCCTTGTCTCCCTTTTATATTTTTTTCTCAAGATTTCTCTTGGGATCTCATAATATTATAGTAAATTTTTTAGTCGTTATAATTCTTTCTTGGAGGGTTGCTTTATTAAACTCTTAGAAACTACTAATCCTGTTATGCCGAGGAATATGATAGCTGACTTTGCTTTTCAAGCAGGGTTACTTGTCACTTAAATCCAATCTCTGCTACTGGGGATTGAATTTGCCCCCTTCTTCTCTGTGTCTACCCGACTACACTATCATTTTCTTGCTTTTCACTCTCTCTTTTTTAATTATTTTATTGAAAATTTAATCCTGCATAAGTTACAGGCTGAAGCTGATTTTTCCACTCTCTCTCCTTTGTTCCAGTGAAAGAATGCTACCCCTTGAAATGCTAAAGGAAAATATTGCATGATGAGTTCACCAATTGAGTATAGTTATCACCTTGGTATTTCTAACCCAATTTCACAATCCATTTTTGTGTGATTATTGTATAGCGAACCATTTTTTTTTTCCCTTTTTTCATTTACATATGTGGTGGTGTTGCGTGTCTGTTCTTGAAAGTCTTCAAAATGGATTCATTGCTCATCACAAAGATGAGCATAGGGTGTTAATCATTCATTGGGACTGTCCAAAATTAAAATTGGATTATTATTTTATTAATAAATTTGTAATATTTTTCAAATTTTAATAGATGGAGAGTCTAACAAAATAATCTTCTAATTGCCACTTAAGAAAGTGAATTTATATTTAAAAAAAATTAATCATTAAAAACTTTAAATTTGGGCTGTCCAAACTAGATTGGGATTGTCCAAATCTCATCTAAGTGATGAGCACCAAATCTTGACTCAAAAATCTTGCTGGAGAATGAGGGAATTGTTGCTTATGTTGACAATGTCTTGAAGCTAAAGTTCATGAAATGAGATAAGAAATTGCAAGGTGGCGAGACCAGTCAAAAAGAAATGTCTGCTTGGGGCTTGCTGGTTACATCCTTGCTGTTTGTTGAAGAAAAAAGCACTCGTGAGAATATGGGGATCACATGTCCTGGTTACTTGTCAGTCTGAGGCTTCAAAACAAGTCAATGTGATCTGAACAGTCTATGCTTATTTCTTTTGCCTATTTGTTTGTTTGGCTTACTATCATAAACCAAGGGCTTTTCATTAAGAAATGCTGAATCTTTTTATGCTCTTCTTTTTCCTTATTTTCTTGAGCAGTTCATTGAGGTTAGAGCTAGATGGCTTTCGTTGGCTTTTTATGTTTCTTAACAAGATCATAATGAACTAATCCCTGACCCCTACTCCAGGGCAATGAGTAATGAACAGGGAAAAAAATTGAGAACCATTACTTCATGTTGATTGTTGCATCACTGTTCAGTCCATCATCAATGTTACTTTTTCTCAAACAGAAGTTAGTCTCATCATGGACATTGTAATATATGCTTTCACTTCTAGGCTGGCTCGGTTTAGGGAAATTAGCATCTGTAATTCTGTCATTAATAGTATATTTGTCTAGATGCCATATAAGCAAGATAAAGGGGCACCTAAATCCCAATACAACAACAACAACAACAAACCTTATTTCATTAAGTGGGGTCCGCGACATGTATTGTACGATACCATTGTGCTTTATTATTTATCAAGTTTTTAAGAATAATGTTAACTAAGAGGCATCGGTTAACAACTTCCTTATGTGTTCTTTTTGGCCTTTTTCTACCTTTATTAACAGAGCTCAAAATTTTTCATTTCATTCTCCTCACTAGTGCCTCTCGCAGTATTTTTTGTACAAGAAATCATCTCAAATGATTTTTTTTTTCATTTTTTCTTCAATAATAAGTGCTATGCTCACTTTTTCTAGTATATGCTTATTTTGGATTTTATCTTTAGGTGTATGCTTGCACATCCATCTCAACATTCTCATCTTTATTAATACAACTTTTGCTCTTGCTATCTCATTAAAGTCTAACATTCACTATCATATAACATAGCTGGTCTTGTAGTAGTTTGATAAAATTTTTATTTAAATTTATTAGGTACTTTATGATCGCAAATAACTCTTTTAGCTTTTTTTTTAATTAAATCACCCAGTTTGTATCCTATGCGCATCATCCCCATCAATTTTCCCATTATGTGGAATAATATTTTCTAGATATTTAAAACTTTTTCACTCCAGGTATAATCTGATCTTTTAATTTCACTTTTAAATTACTATTGATTGATCTTTTATTAAAATTACAATGCAAATATTTTGTCGTTACTAAGGCAAAAACTTTTTGATTTCAGTATCTTCTTTCATAACTCAAGTTTACAATTAATCTCTTCTTTTGTCTTCACAATAAGAATTATATCATCCACAAAAAGCATGCGTTTGGGAATTTCTTCTTGAATATGCTTGGTCAAAACATTTAGGATCAAGTAAAACAAATAAGGATTCAAAGATGACCCTTGACGTAGTCTAATTCTTATATGAAAGTCCTTTGTTTTTTGGCCAGATGTTCTTATACTAGTTGCCTTCTCATACATATCTTATATGGCTCTAATATAGGTGACCTGGGCTTCTTTCTTTTTCAAAGCTTTTGTAAGTACTTCTCTCAGTATATGATTATAAGCTTTTTCCAAATCAATGAGGATGATATGTAAATCTTTACTTTTGCATCGATATTTTTTCATTAATGCCCTTGGTAGAAAAATCACTTCTTTGGTTGCCCTACTTGATATGAAGTCAAATTGATTTTCAAAAATACCAATATCGAATCTAAACCTATACTTAATCACTTTTTTTCACAATTTCTTTGTATGACTCATAAGTTTAATTTCTCTATAGTTAGCACAATTCTAAATATCTCTTATTTTTTTAAGTGGGAATTAAGGTGCTTTTCCTTCAATTTTCAAGCATTTTCTTGGACTATAAGATCACATCAAATAACTTAGTCAGCCATTGCATCCCCTCTTCACCTAAATATTTTCACTCTTCAATAGGGATACAATCAAGTCAATTGGCTTTACCATTTGCTATTTTCTTTGGAGCTTTCTTTACCTTACTATTGCGTATCTTTCAATATAATGACAAATTTTGTTTTCCTTTGTGAGTTATTAAATCTTCCAAGTTACTAGATGAATTCCCTCTATCATTGAAAACTTCTAAAAAGCAGGTTTCCCATCTGTCTTTAATATTACCATTTGTGACCAAAACTCTTCTTTTTTTATCTTTTATACACCTTACCTATTTTAGATCTCTTGATTTTTTTTCTCTACTCTTGGCAATCATATAACTTTTTCATTCTTCATCCTTTGTCCCAAAACCATTGTGAAACACTTCAAATGTTTTAGAACAAGCTTCACTAACAAATTTCTTAGTTCCCTTCTCAGCCATACAATACTTCTCCCAATTTTCATCGTTATTGTACAAATGAATGGTTTTAAAACATTACTTATATTTGACTTTTTCCTGTACCTTATCATTTCATCACCAATACTCCTTATCTCTTGGACAAAAACGTTTTGATCTTCCTAAAACTTCTTTAGCAACCTTCCTTATTTTCTTAACCGTATCCTCCCACAAGATGCTAATACTTCCTTAGGACTCCCAAATTCCTTTCGCGAAAAGATTTTGCTTGAAAATTTCTTACTTCTCACCTTTTTAACTGCCACCACGTAATCCTTAGGATTGCCACTTGTTAGGGCTTTAGATTTTTACTCGTAATATGTAGATAGGACAAAGACCCTTTGTTGTGTTGTTATGCTATACCTAGGAATTATTTTACAATTTTTACAGAGTCTTTTATATCTATTCCTTACTAAAAGGAAATCAATTTGACTTTGAGGCTTTACTTTTGTAAGTGATGAGATGTTCATCTCTCTTCTTAAAACAAGTGTTGGCAATCTTAAAATCATATATCAAAGAAAAATTAAAAAATAGATTGTCTTTTATTATTTAGCTCTCCAAAGCCAAAACTAAAATCACCATGCACCCTCACATAGTTACCTACATCTCTCTCGACATGATAATTCAAGTCTCCTCTAAGAAAGATTTTTTTTTACTGTGTTCCCAAAACTTCTTAAGACTGGCTTCTGCTCCAGCTTAAGGTATATAAGCGCTAATAATATTTGACAGTCTCATGTCTAACAATCACCTTTAAGGAAATAATTCTGTCCCAAATTCTGTTAACCTTTTGCACGTTCTTCTTCCACTCTTTATCAACAATGTGAAGCTATGATGTTAATGTTATTTTTTGTCCGGGTAATATCTCTGTCTGCTGCAATTCACTGTTTGATCAATTGCAGATGGCGAAAACTACAATGATCACACAATCTCTGTAAAAGATAAGCCCTGAATTGACAGTTGATTGCTTTCAGGTGTCACGCTCAAGTTCTGTGCCTCCTAATACAAGGGATGCTTTATATCAAGGGCTGCCTCCTAGTGTTAAATCGGCATTGCGCTCAAGGATACAGTCATTTCAGCCCAAAGAAGAGGTGCTTGTTCCATGTCTATCTTATTTATTAAGTGTTTGCAGTTGATCATGCATGCTTTGTGTACACGAGCAGCTGGTGTTTGTGCATCCTACTAAACATGTTTCTTCATGCATTTCACAGATTGAGGTGAGCTGTATTATTTATGACTTATAGCAGTACAGCATTCTGTAAATTTAATTGGAATTATCTTCTTAAAGTTGCATTTATTACCACTAATAATGATCATGAGTTGTATTTAGATTACCTCGTACTGTAGTTACAGGACTTGTTTTTCTTAGAAATGTTAGTTCTACATTTAGTGTCAAATGTATTTAAAATTAAAAGAATTGATATTTCCATTTGTTCTTTTTCTTAAATAAGGCGCATAAAATAGTTGAGTAGTTCAGCATGTCTGGAAGGCAAACACTCAGTATTCTATATAGTATATATTATCACCTTTTCCCCCTCTATGTGAGATATATGCTTTACTTCCACTTCAGAATTTCGTGTTATGTGCATATTAACAATTCGGCCTATTCTCTCTGCATATGTGCTTTCTATCAAACCTTTCTTATTCCACTGCATTTGAACTGTGATCCATTTGCCTGTAAACATTTATTAGATCTAATCTGAAATTAGAGAAACATCTCTGCAGCTTACAGTCCACCAAATCAAAGCTGAAATGGAGAAGACTTTGCAGTGGCTTGTTCCTATCGCCACCAACACAACAAAGTAAATTTCAATTTCCATTCCCTTGCGCTGCGATTCTTAATACCTTCTAGTTTTAGTACTCTATATTTGTGGACTTCCCTTTTAACTCTGGACATGAAGTGTAATGTTTATCATTCCGTGGGAAAGCAATTCTGGTTGTTGTTTGTTGACTATCCAAATATTTAGAAGCGACATTGATCTGCCTTAGAGCTATTTCCTTCGACTTCTGTATTGTGTTTGATTGCCTGATTGTCTCTCTCATTTGGGTTAATTCAGAGCTCATCATGGCTTTGGATGGGTTGGAGAATGGGCAAATACGGGGTGAGTTCAACTACGGGCTTCCTCTATATTCATCTTTTACCCAAGTTTACTGATCAATTTTTATACAAGGCGCATTCATGTTTCACTTGTGTTTACTAATCAATTTTGTTTAGGTCTGAGGTCAACCGGAAACCTGCAGGCGACACAGACTTGTTAAGAATAGAAACACTTCACCATGCTGATAAGGAGAAAACAGAAGCTTATATTCTTGAACTTGTGGTGTGGCTTCATCATCTAGTCAGCCAAGCAAGAACTGGCAATGGAGGCATTAGGTCTCCTGTCAAATCCCCAATTCGTTCCCCTAACCAAAAGACAGTGCAATTATTTGCACAGAAGGCCTGCTCTGCTTCTCCTGTGTTAACCTTTGAAGATCAACAAATGCTTCGAGATGTCAGCAAGCGGAAGCTGACACCTGGAATCAGCAAGAGCCAGGAATTCGACACTGCCAAGACGCGGTTGAGCAAACACCATAGGCTGAGCAAGAGTAGCAGTCATTCCCCAATCAGTGAAAGTAAAAACATGTTCTCCATAAGGCGGCCGTCTATTCCAGTCATTGATTTTGATATTGATCGAATCAAGGCCTTGGATGTCATCGATCGGGTGGATACCATTGGAAGTTCATAATTTGAAGGCATATGAGAGATCAGGAGGTCAAGGAAGTGATGTTAGTTAAGTCAATCTGCTGCCTTCTCCAAGTTTGAATGCTTCTCTTAGTTTATTGTGAGCTGTGAGAAAGTTTTGTTGGTTTTCTAACCATTGAGCGATGTAATGTAGGCCAGTTTTTTTCAAGTTCAGAGTTGATTAATGGGGGAGTGGGAGGGCAGGGAGCTACGCCTTTGGCCATTAGTCTATATGTACAGATCATGTTCTCATCATACAACAATCTTTCATTGTTTTGCTTTCTCTCCTCTCAAATAAATTTTATCTATAATTGTAAGCAAGTTTGGAAATGATGAAATCGTGCCATTTCATAGTTTGAAGTTCTCTTGTAAAGAGCATAATTGGCAGAATTAATGTTACATATGATTATTGAAGGAAGTCCATGAGGATGAGGACTGCAAGAAGCAGCCCAATTCAAGTATTATATCAGTTTCTTCTTTTTTATTTCGTTGCACAGTATCCTAGTTAACTTGAGGATATTACTACTGCTTGTTCCAACTAATTTAAATTCTCATTGTGTGATTATTATTAAGTATCTTAGTATCTTGAGCTGTTTCTGGCATTTAAACTTGCTTCTTACATCTTTTTGTTGTACTTATTGATGATAGATTGGGCTAGGCCAGTCAATTTTTTATTTGTTAAAAAATTTATGTGGTTGGGCTGAGCCTTGGATTACTCAACCTGCTGGGTGACACGTGACGTTAATCTCAATCATCAATTTGAATGATATAAAATAGTAAGCTTAAAATAAGCCATACTATTTTTCAAGATTTGTACAAATTTCAGGTGCACCTGATTTAATATATGTAGCCACCTCATCAGGAAAACATATGCATTATATTTTCAAAGGCTGGATTGATTCCAATTGTCTGACCAAATCAAATTCAATTATGGGTTTGATTAGTTAATACAACTCGGAAGGTATTTTAAGATCCCATAACGTGAAGAAACGATATACCTATTTGGTTAATTGTTTCGCATTTTTGCCTTACACTTCTAAATTTTAGTTTCTAGATTACTTTCTTTCAATTATGCATTTAGTTCTTGAACTTCGAATTAATATAAATGGATTCTTATAATAACTGAATTGTAGCAAGTTAAAAGGCTATAAAAACTGAGTTTTTGATTTAAAATTCAGGGATTAAATCCATAATTGATGAGAAGTCAAAAGACTAAAGGTTATATTTTCCCTATACATAACCTGTATGTGGACTGTGGCCAAAAAAAAAAAACTATATATAGATTAGGAGGCTTTTTTTTTCCTCTTTTATGTAATCAATTTTCTTAGCCATTTGCAGTTGCAGCAAGAGACCAGAATATTCCATGATGAAATAGGAAATGAATATAATTTGGAGATATCTTTAGATATATACACATAGAGAGAGACTTAACTCTTAAGAAAAGAGAGAGTTGAAAAAAGATTTCATGGGGAAGGAAGGCATCCAGCAGCATAATGTGGATATGGAGGAAGAGGAGGAGAACCAGATACCCAGAAAGAAAAAAAAGAGAGCATATTAATTAATTAATTAATGAGTCAAATTGGCGAAGAAGAAGATGATGATCAAATTAAAGAGGATTGAGATATTTGGATAATTTTGGAGACCATATTTGCTGTGGACAAGTTGAGAGCATCTGCATCAGTTGATCAGACATTTCATGTCGAGTGACAATTATTGGATGTGAATCATATATAATATGATGGTTACAATAGTAATATGCTCAAACATTATCATGTGAAGCTGTTTTCTTAAGGTTCTTCATAACATATTTGCTGCCTCATCCTGACTCTGACTTGCTTGACGTTGAAAAAAAACTTGAAACACACTCTCTCTCTCATAGTCTGCAGATCAAGTTGTGTGTTTCTGGTTTCCTAACTTTTTTCACTTTCTATATTCTTAAAGCTGCCTTGTTTCGCGTCAACCTGTCAATTTAGCTATATTCATCAAACAAGGAAAAAGATGTATCACATATGTGTGCATGCATATGTATGTGGGTCTCTCTCTCTCTTTCTCTCTCTCTCTCTATATATATATATATATTGTCATCAATTCAACTCACAACATATAGGCACTTTTTATGTATAATTATTTTGTTTGCGATATCATGGAATAACGAAACTTTTAATCTTATAAGTTTGTTTCTATTATTAATTTGGTCTCTTAAGTTTAATTTTTATTAAGTTAGTCTCTTACATTATGTTTAATTATCATGTCAGTCTTTTAAGTTTTAAAATATAAATTAACTCTTAAATTAATCTAATGTTTAAAATATGTTGATGACTTAATATGTATACATAGTTAAATGAGAACAAATCATTCCTCAAATTAGTTTAATTTTTATCAATTTAATCCCTTCCATTTTGTTTTATAGAACTTTAGACTTTATTATTATTTTTCTACCTAAATAATTACATTTCTCTTCATTAGTTTACATAGTTGTCAACAATATTCCGTTATCCATATTGGCATATTGTAATAGCGCTACCTTCTCCTTAAACACTAAAAATCACATTGATAGCTTAGACTTAAGGAACCAAATAATTGATGCATGTTGAATTTGAGAGATTAAATTAATAATTAAAATGAACTTGAGGAACTAAAAGTTTTATTATTACTGATGTTGTCAAGTCAACTTCAAGTATTATTAGGCTTAGTTAAGAATAGCCCTCCCAATATGATTTTTAATATTCACTATTTCTTAAGATCTTGTTTTAGGGCAGTCAAGTTCTTTCCATATTCCCCAATCACTGTTAGTTTATATAAGTTAAGTATTTATTTTCAAAATTTTCAATAAAAATATGATAAGTAATTTTTGATGGCTTAACAATGTGTTACATAATTAATTGAATATTAAAAAATTTCCAAGCCCAAATATGAAGTGAAGCTTTACTTAAGACAAATTTTCCTTTTTTATATGGTTTATTTAACTTAGTCAAATCCGAGCATTTTCAAGTCCAATGGAAAGTAACTCTTTTAGGAGTATTTTTCACATTTAGATGGACTTAGACTCAAGTTATTGTGCTTAAACAGCTATAGTCCCTTTTATTAGGGCAACCCCTCTTAATCATTTAAGACAAACTTTTTAAATGATGTTAAAAATAATTTTATATGTATATATATGATGCTGAAACTTTCATTATAATTAATTAAGAGCTTTTTTTAAGCACATGAAAACTATATTAACAGTGGAATAATCACTTTTGTTGCCAACATTCGGATTATAAATGTTGCTTTAGCATGAAATCTCTGGAAAGAAAATAAAAGAAGAAGCTTTATTTTAATTTGAACTTTATGTATAGTTACAACTCTATCTCTTTGATCTTTGTTACCTGCATAGACATTTAATCCTTTTATTTTCATTACGTATCCTCTTATGGTGCATTACAATTTAAATAGTAATTGATTAATTAAGTTTAGAAAAAATTAAGGATAAAATCATCACGTTTTTAAAAAAATAATAATAGATTAGAATAAAAGAGCAAATATTAAATCATTTTTGAACAAGAAGTAGTGTTAAAGTTATTTATCCTTCTTTCTTTTTATTTAACCAAACATATAAATAAAATAATATAGCCATTGATCCTTCTCATGTCATATCAAATATAATCAGCAAGACAAGATTATATTCTATTTCAATTAAAAATAATTTTTATATTGTAGGTACATAAGCTTTTTCCTTTTCTTAAATAATTTATTAAAAGTTCCATTCTAATAAAACTGTGTTTGTCTGTATCTCAATTGGGAACCAAACTTCTTTAATATTCTCATTTGAAAGTGGGACTTAGAAATTATTTTGTGCGTGTCTGTGTGTGTGCGTGCGTTGCAATTTGCAAGGACAATTTGGGTAAGGTAATCTAAATTCGTTATGATTTATTTGTTCCTTTAAAGCGATGTTATATAGTTGCTAATTATTTAAAGTAGCTCTATTCATACTTATTATATATGTGATATGTCTCATGACAGATTTAATTTGTCTATATATATTGTCTTATGCAAAATCAAATATTTTTGTTATATTCTTTATGCACATGCTGCAAAGCTTTTTAATCTTGTAAAAGAATAATATTTTAAAAGAATCTTAAAAATCTATGTTAGGCCGGTTGATAATCTGAATTAATTTAATTTTTAAACAAAAGCAAAAAAGTTTGAAATGCCAACATTTTTCTTCAATTATTCTTTGTGCTTGCTCTAAATTAAACCTTTTTTTTGTTGGCTTCATGGTTATAATTTTCATGAATTGATGAAACTCTATCGTTTATTTTTTTTATATAACTACATATTGTTTATATAGAAGTGGTATTGTATCAAGGTGCTTGAAACCAAATCTTTTATTGAATCGGTTAAAATATTAGTTACAAAATTAAATGTTAAAACCAGAGTTGAATTATGGTTAGACTGATCATGAGAGAAATATTTCATTCAATCAGTTATAAATAAAACATTTTATTGAACTGAATAGGACATTGATTTAATTACAGTACGATTTACCAGTTGAACGGCCCGAAATGACCAGTTTTCAATACTGTGGATTATATTTATAATTTATTTTTATTATATATATATATATATATTCTTTTCTTTTTGTCCTATCTCTGGCTATATTATCTACAATTCATTTATAATTTTGAAATCTAAATTCTTGAACTTTAACCTGTTCCGGTCCTCTGAGAACTGTGTTCTTCCTTATCTAATACGAATTTTGCTTCTCGATGCTTCAGTGTGGACCGTTATCTTTTGCAAACATAAAGATATCTATTAATTCTTCCCAATCATTGTCCTGTTAATTAAATTAAACAAATTAATAAAGGCTTTAGAAATTAAATCTAAATTATATCTGTTTCAACAGATTGGATATATTATTCTTAGATTCAGTGATTAACGGATCGATGAATTACATAACCACGTGTGTTGGCCATAAAGAATCGGTGCCATTATTATTTTATGTTTGATGCATAAACCAATATGACAATATTTTAAAACAATTTAAAAAAAAGAATAATTTATATTCTATATATTAATATGAGCAGCATATGGGAAAGGAATAATGTTACGATTTTTTATTATTTAAAAATTTTAAAAGTATTTTAGATTATTCTCAATTTCTCATGTCTACAATATTTTCAAAATTATCACATGTCCAAGATAGGGTAGTGGGATTTATAGAGTCAACTATCCTCCACTGATCCACATCAATATCACACCAATATAATTAATACACATAAAATAAAATTTATGCCAATTAAGTCACATTATTTAAGGATTATGAATAATGCAACTTATTATTCACGTGTGAAAAAATCTATCTACTTCCTCTTATTATATTTCTAACTTACTTCTATTATATTTCATTAGAATAGGAAAAACTTAAAATTCACTCACTTTATCTAAAAGTTTGATATATTATTAACTGTATCCTTATTAAAAA